TGCTGAACCTCCAGCTGATTCTCCTCCAAACTGAATGCTTTCCTGCTCCCCAGCGTGGCTTTCGTCCTCCCCTTCTTGGCCTTGGCGGGAATCGTCCCGGCATCCACCACATAGCTGGGAAAACATCGCAAAACCACCGTCAGCCTCATAACTGACGCTCACGCCGCTCAACTTCACCCTTAAACAGCGTCTGAGTTTACGAGGCCATGCCAACGCTTATAAAACACAGACAGATGCGCAATACACTGCATTTCTCTTCTTTAGTAAGGTCAATAGCAGGAATAACGACATCAGATCAAGCAAACAGTGTAGCTTTACGAGTTTCTCTCAGGCGATGATTCGAGTGTAATGGTTAAACAGACTCAATGCAAATATATTATAAAACACACCAACGGCACTTCACTCCGACCTCGATTACCCAACCACAGCAGTAAAAACTCAAGAATAAACACTACGGACTGAAAAACAACCTTCAAAGGAAAATCCGCACCAATTTTCGCTTGGAAATTGCGAGTAAATTTAAAAAAGTTACACACCGAACGCAGCCCATTGAATGGAAACCCACTCCAATGACATAAAAAGTGCTATTCTACCATACCTGTAGATATTATGTCCATTCCTGCGAGATAATCGTAAACTCAACGATCGGTTCATCCTCAAAAGTGTACAAAATTGGCCTCAAGCCATAACGCTGGAGTTTGACGCTTGGCCAGAAGCAATAAATACATAAAAAAAAAATGTGAGTCTAGTTGCTCAGCGAGTCTAAAAAACAGCTCTGGTCTGCGGCCGCGCTCCTGCTGCCTTCCTCTGTATGCAAATGAGGGGGCTGGGTTAGAACAGAGCTCTGGGATGCGGTTGAACCAATGGGAGCGGCTCCCTTCCACTTTATGCAATTGAGTGGGCGGGTCCGAGGACAGAGTTCCAGTCTGCGGTCGTGTTCCAATGGGAGCGGCTGCTTGTTCTGTATGCAAATGCGGGTGGGCGGAGTCTCTGACCTCAGATGGTGTGACTGTGGGTTGCTGATGTAATGGAACACCTGCAGGTCAAAACATGCTGAGAAATGCAGCAGCTTTTGAAAAGAAGCGAAAGCGAATGAGTTTACAGTGACAAGAGTGACGATTTATAGAAGCGAAAGTCAAATCGCTGTAATTTTTCACCTGAAAGGAACTCAAAGTAGCCGCAGACCGCTTCCTCGTTCGGATCTGAGGTTTTTGGGTAATTCGAGAGCCTTAAACGTCTGTTTTGGTGGCTACATGCTACGCACAGCTGCTGGAAAGCACACGTCAACTTTCCCAGCATTCAGAGCCATTACATTTACGACTCAAGGACAAAGGTGTGACTTGCTGAAATATAGGTTAAAAGACAGCATATGACATGCAATAAAAACACTTGTAGTCATATAACCAGGTATGCGGATTATGTATCACGCTTTGACGAATATGAATTACTTTCAAATTACTATAAATACCTTATATATATACTTATATATATTTTAAATTCTTTATACATGAACTTGCCACATATTTTAGACATTAGCAAAGTCTATTAAAAAAACTAAAAAAAAAAAATGTAAATAAATATTTATTTATTTAAATTAACTTAATGAAATAAATAGGTTAAAAGACGTGCAATAAACACAATGAGCAGGCATGCAGGGTATTGTCTTACTCTATAACGGCCAGCTACGATGGGCGTAACGATTACAAATGACTCTCAAATGCCACGGAAACATTCCTGAGCTCATCTGCGGGGGAAGGGAAGCTTTTACGGCACGCAAGGAAACAAAAGAAACCATTACGACACAAGGAAGCTGGCAGCCACCGAAATATATACATCTAGAATTAGACGTTTTAGAGCTCAGCCAGCTTTTGTTTGGTTGTTTCGGTCTTGAAACCTTTGGATAAGAAAGCAAATCCATGCATGTGGTACGCAAACACATTCAAATCAGATCTGCACGAAATAAATGCTGATTAACGCTAAAGGAGACTTCCTAGATGTCTCAACATGTTGCCAAAAGAAGCAGGAATACCAGGAAATAATGCAATATATCTATTCTTAATGTGATTTGCATACAATGACAAGATGTGGAAAGGTTTTTTTCTAACCTACATGAAAACACACTACACATGCAAAATTTAATTGAGGAAGTTAACAATTAAAAATGACTTAAAGGTCATGTGGAACCACTGGGACACAACTAGAGACTTAAACTGCTTTGGATGGATGGATAAATAAATAAACACTACTCTTTTTTTATATTTTTTTAAATCAATTAATTTTTTCTATATATATGAAAATGCCTTATTTTAGATATTGGGAAAGGCCAAAAACATGTAACTTAAATACCAAAAAAAAACAAAAACATAAAATAAATAAAATAATATAAGAAATATATGAGAAAATAATTAATTTTTTTTTTAAAGAAACAAATTGTATTGTGTTAAGTTGCATTTAAATTAAATAAATAAATTACCAAAAAGTAACTAAAATTATAACTACTACTACTGCTGATAAAACAAAAATTAACAACAAATATTCAAATATAAAATAATATTTAAAAAATAAATATAAAATTAGCAATAAATTACGTTAACTAGCATTACGCCAACTAGCATTAGTGTTCAGTAATATATTATTGTATAAATTATTTTGCATACAGAAAAATCAAAGAGTGAAATAAATGAAATAGGAACTATTCGTTTTCTCAATCGCAATGTTTTTTCTGATAAGACAATATATGAAAACAAAAAATAATGCAATTCTGTGATAATACAATGTGATTCTGGTAATATAGTAACTTTTTACTGCATTACACAAAATATTTATTTACACAAAGTGGTTTAACTTGGCATAAACTCAAGCTATTCATTTAATGCATCACTTCATTTTTCCTCATGCAAAATGTCAATGCTCGTTTTACTTTTCCATTCAGCGTAAAACGAGCCACACAAGACATTAAAACACACTTCATATTGCAGATCTATTTGAAGACCCCCTCAGATCTCATCCGCACCGGCTTCACCTTTAACCAGCATCAATAAACCACAGCTCACACTCTCACACCGCAGCCAAACTTCCCATCACACCAGCTGAAAGTCCTGTTTCTCATGTCTGAGCTTGTGTATTCGGGCTAAACGGAGGATTTGGGAATCTGCCATCGCGCTGTGGGCGTTTATAGGAAATGCAATCCAGCTAAGGCATTTGGGAAAGTCACTCCTAAATGAAAGTGCTTGCATTAAATAAATAAAACACACTGTTCAAACACTTTAATTCAATGCATTAGGATTTACACAGTGTGTCAATCCGGCTTCGTGACGTTAGAACAATAAAAAAAGGATCCAGAGATCCTGTTCAACAGTCTTGAACAAACCTCGCGACTTCTATTTAGCCTAAAGACGCGCAGTGATTTAGAACGAAGACAACAAGCATCAAACATCCCCTGCAGAATCATCTGATGCTGATGATAAAACACAAAGCTTGCAAAGACGCCACAAGAGCTCAAACCAGAGCTGATAAGCATCAAACAGTGGCATGAGACGCTTCAGAAACACGCCAAACAAGGAAATGTGTCAGAGTTCAAGGCCTGTTCTCAGCGATAAACTTTATCATGCACGCCTTTGTTCTGGGAATGAAAGTTCAGTCTTTGCAAATGAGCCAAACGTTTGATTTTTGTGGTTAATTTGCATGAATAAAAACAAAACTAGTCAACGTTTTGCTCTTTAAAGCTGTTTGAATTCCATCCGCTAGCTATGAAAACAAATCCCCACCGGGCTAGCAGCTCAACGACGCATTCGCAGCTGCTCACCATCGTATATCAGAGCTAAAACAGTCGTAAACGTCTCCTACCTTCCCAAATCCTCACACGCGGCCGAATCCATGTGGTTTAGATCCTTCTCGCCATCCATCGCCACGTCTTTTCAGGGCTAGCGAAGACTGAACCACTTCTGACCAGCTGCGCTAGATGCTGAGCAATGGGGTCTAAAGGTTTCCTTTACAGCTGCTCCGTTACGGAAAAAGTGAGATAATGAGGCACAGGGAAGCCAAAGTGGGAGTCGAGGGAGGGATAAAGGATCCTCCACCGGCCCACTCCGCTCACCTCCAACCGTGGCAGCTGGAGGAGCCCACAATGGCCCATTTGGATGACATTGAAGAAATGCAAACTACAGAAGACAAGACTCAAGACATGCAAACAAAGGCCTTGCTAGTGGGCCACCTATTGTCTTTGCAGGGGGGTAGAGGGTCAACAAACACATGGGAAAACTGGAGAAAAATCCCCTACAAGACCAGAACTTTTCTGCAAGGATCTGATTTGGCTTTAAGTATTTCGTGAAGTTTCTGTGTGAACTGGAAAGTGCTTTCCAACAGCTTTGAGAGTGCCAAAAAATGGTTAGTTTGAAGTTAGATAAACAAATACTACTAGAATTTAGACTTTTTTGATTAATTACAAACCCAAACACAACTAATTTGAAACAATACATGAAAAATATCCATTTAAGCCTGTAAAAACATTAAATTCTGACTTTGAAAGCATCAGAAATGGTTAGATTGAAGTTAAGTTTTTTATCGATTACAAATGCAGA